TGGGACCACAGGTGCCCACCACAACGCCTGGCTATTTTTTGGTTGCAGCCATCATTGTTGTTTGGCGGGTCCGGGCTGGATTCAAACCCGCCACCTTGGGTGTACGTGGCTGGTGCCTTAGCCATTTGAGCCACAGGTGCCAAGCCAATTGTCATTGTTGTTAAGCTGGCCTGGGCTGGGATCGAACCTGTCAACTCTGGTGTATGTGGCTGGCACCGTAACCACTGTGTTACGAGTGGCAAACCAGGTTATTTTTTTTTTAGAGACAAGGTCTCACTCTGGCTCAGGCTGGTCTCAAACTGGTGAACTCAGGCAATCCACCTGCCTAGGCCTACCAGAGTGCTAGGATTACAGGCATGAGCCACTGCACCTGGCAGCTATTGTTGTTATTATCATTAATGTGAAAGTACTTTGCCTCCTTGAAAGAAAAGTAAATATCCCAGGTTGTAAAAGTAGTGACTAACCCCTCCTTTTTTTAATTGTAAAATCTTTATAACATATAGGAAGAGAGAATAGTGCAATGACTCTCCAGACACTAATTGTTCATATTTAATAATCATCAAGATTTTGCCATACCAGCTGTCTTGCCTCAGCCTCCCTAGTAGCTGGGACTACAGGCATTTACCACAACGCTCGGCTATTTTTTTGTTACAGTTTGGCCGGGGCCAGGTTTGAAACTACCACCCTTAGTATATGAGGCCGGTGCCCTCTTCACTGAGCCACAGGCACCACCCGAAAAGAGGTTTTTCTTTTATTTATTTTTTTGCAGTTTTGGCCGGGGCTGGGCTTAAACATACCACCCCTGGTATATGGGGCCGGCGCCCTACTTCTTAAGCCACAGGGGCTGCCCAAGGTTTTTCTTTATTCAAAAATTGTGCCAAGGTAAAGTAAAGCTCTAGTTTATGCAGGCATGTTGTGTAGGCATTAACAATACGGCCCTCACCATATACTCTTCAGACAGTAACACAATCCCAAGAAAAGGATGCTTTGTATCCTTGCTTTTTGGTATAATAAGATGTCCTGGGTCATCTTTATATATTTCCTAGGCTAGATCAAGAGTATGTTCGAGGAATCATGTCCTTTTAGTGAGAAATTGCATTTAAAGGTTAGAGTCTGGACATTAGACACAATCATTCCTTTTAGGCCTTTTCATTGGCCTTTAATCCTAACTTGATCAGAATTATTAGGGATGGCTCGGCGCCTGTGGCTCAAGCGGCTAAGGCGCCAGCCACATACACCTAAGGTGGCGAGTTCAAATCCCCAGCCCAGGCCCCCCAAACAGCAATGATGGCTGCAACCAAAAAATGGCCAGGTGTTGTGGTGGGCACCTGTAGTCCCAGCTACTTGAGAGGCGGAGGCAGGAGACTCGCTTGAGCCCAGGAGTTGGAGGTTGCTGTGAGCGTGATGCCATGGCACTCTACCCAGGGGGACAGCTTGAGGCTCCGTCTCAAAAAAAAAAAAAAAAAAGAATTATTGGGGAAATAAGACGTTTCTGTACAGTAGCACAACCCTGCTGATACTTATTTGATTGATGCTTATTTCTCCTTTGTAGCAAACAATGAAAAGTCTGTCTTCTATCTGCTGATTCATCTGCGCTGTACTATGGCAAAGGGTAAGTGCTAGGATCATAGGTGTGAGCCACCACTCCCGGCCTAAAACACTTTATATATATTAATATATATATAACTTGTTGAATCTATCTTAGCTTCACACTATCCAATGTCAAGTTTACTTTTTCAAGTGTAACTTACCTGATATACTTGGTCTGTAGTACTATTCTTTTTAACCCTGACTGTAACTGTTGTTCCATCTGGCAATGCTACTCTCAGCTCTACATCAGACACACCATTGTAGTTCTGGGGAAAAAGACACAGAAATAATTTATAATCCAATATATCCTTACTTACCCTAAACATGCTAGCTAAACAGTAACCTAAACTCTACTGTCATAGAGGGGAACTGAGTTACAAAGAAAAAGGGGGAAAGTCATGAAGGCGACTGCACACTGCAGCAGAAGTTAACCTTTAAGATGAACAAGGAGGGAAGAAACATGTTGAAGCCAAAGCAATTACGTTTCAAAACAGAAAATTGGTGTGGAGCAATCTAGGTGAAACACAGGTTAAGATTCTTCATTCATGTCCCTCTCCTCATTCAGAACTCACAAATGAGAAAACAACTTAAAGCAATAGTTTCTTATATTATTGGTAAGGCACACAGATTGGCTTCAGGGTATCCTATGTTCCCTTCTGAACCTTGAAATAATCAGCACATCTTGAAATGAAAAATGGATGAGATTCGGGCATCTGAGTAGTCTGATGCCCAATTTTCTTCCAATAAGCAGTAAAAAAAATTTGGCCGGGTGCAGTGGCTCACGCCTGTAACACTAGCACCCTGAGAGGCCAAGGCAGGTGGATTGCTTGAGCTCAGGAGTTTGAGACCAGCCTGAGCAACAGCAAAACCCCATCTCTACTAAAAATAGAAAAACTAGCCATGCATTATGGTGGGTGCCTATAGTCCCAGCTATCTGAGAGGCTGCTGAGGCAAGAAAATCACTTGCGCCCAGGTTTGAGGTTGCTGTGAGCTATAATGCCACAATACTCTACCCAGGACGACAGAGGGAGACACTATCTCAAAAACAAACAAAAAAAAAGGTAAAAAATTCTTACTCTCCTTGATTCAAAAGGAATCCTTTTGATGATTCCTTTAACAGACTTTTGACCTTATAACTTTATTAAAAAGAAACAACTATTTAGGAACAAGTCCATCTTAATTTATCACTTTAAAAAAAAGTAGTTTTCATTGCCTAAAACCATTCTAAGCATTGCTTTCTTATAAGCCCTTGTCTGTAAGAAACTTATAATCTAGATGGAAAAGTAAGACATAAACATATGAAATAATTAGGAACTTATTAGCATTAAATGTTAATTCTTCTATCTAATTAATATTTCTTAAGCACTGATAACATGCTTGACACTGTGGTACTGTAGTAAGGCACCAAGATTATAAAGATGATCAAGATTTAGCTCTTACCTACAGTTAGCTCACAATCTCATCAAGTTAAAAACACAAAGTGACAATCTGATTATATGTATAAAGATCAGAGAATGAGATAGCAATCGGTGATAAGTGAATGGTACTGATTGTAAAAGTTCTTGGTGGAATAAAAATTCAATATCCTGAGTCATCAGAGATGGCTTTCAAGAGAAGGCAGACCTGGCACCAGGCCTGAAAGGACAGACAAGCAGGATGCAGAGGGAAAGAAGAGAGAAAAGAAAAACGTAGTCATCTGGAAAGTCTGTGGTGGTTCAACCCATGATAAGAATCTTTCATTTACTTTCCCCAACAAGGAGACAAGAAGAAAATACTCACCACAGGGGATACACACCCACCTCATCTGACTCTGACAGGAATTCCTGCATGATGTCACTTTCACCGATGACTCGTATTGAACACACTGCAGAAAACAAAAATAGAATCTGGGATAAGACCCTAAAATCAATAATATTAAGTCAAAGATATATCAAGGTTTAAGTTTAAATCATTAGTAGAAGGCATGATGAGATAGCATGCCATGCCAGGCATATGATATAATTTTAAGCCATGACAAACATTTGTCTAAATATGATCATAGCAAAAATGTAACAGCAAATACAAAGATAGAGCTAAAAATAATAAATGTAGCCAGAAAAGAGAAATAAAAGTTCAGCACCTCTAGCGGGTGTGGTGGCATGCACCTTTAGTCCCAGCTAAGGTGAGAAGACCACTTGAAATTAGGCGCTATAGACTAGCCTAGACAACACAGTGAGACTGTCTCTTTAAAAAAAAAGTTCAGGAAATTTAACTTTGCAGTCTTGTATGACCTATTAACAAGCTGGAACAACAGCACATGGGGGAAAGAGGCAGTGGTAAGGAAATCTCAATCTGGAATAAACAAAACATAAAATTCAAATACAAAAGGAAAATAGCAATTAGGCCTATGAACAGGCCATTTGGACAATCTTAAACGTAAAGCCACTTTGGAAAAAAATGGATAAGTCATTAAGTATTAAGCTGAGCACATCATTTTACCTCACTGGCTACCTTCAAACAACTACAAAGGAAGGAAGAAAAGCACAGGCAGATAGGACAGCTAGTGTCTAAATCTAAGAAAATTAATTTCTTCACACTCTCATGAGGATGTGAAATTACACTGATGACTTTAATTTTTTTTTTTATTAAAAAAATTTTTACCCTTTCTCATTTCCCAAGGGCTATGTTCAGCAAAAGCTAAAAACAGAGGAGGAAGTTCCTCTAATTTCTAGGGGGCAAAATGGTTTTTCTTCAGGGATAAGGTTCCCTACCCAAGTTTTTTTGGGTTTTTTTTTTTGAGACGGAGCCTCAAGCTGTCCCCCTGGGTAGAGTGCCGTGGCATTACAGCTCACAGCAACCTCCAACTCCTGGGCTCAAGCGGGATCTCTTGCCTCCGCCTCCCAAGTAGCTGGGACCACAGGCACCCGCCACAACGCCCGGCTATTTTTTGGTTGCAGCCATCATTATTGTTTGGCGGGCCCGGGATGGGGATTCGAACCCGCCACCTTAGGTGTATGTGGCTGGCACCTTAGCCTCTTGAGCCACAGGCGCTGCCCAAGATGCAAAGTTTTTTTTTTTTGAGACAGAGCCTCAAGCTGTCCCCTGGGTAGAGTGCCATAGCATCACCCTCACAGCAACCTCCAACTCCTGGGCTCAAGCGAGTCTCCTGCCTCAGCCTCCCAAGTAGCTGGGACTATAGGCGCCCGCCACAACGCCTGGCCATTTTAGTTGCAGCCATCATTGTTGTTTGGCGGGCCCGGGCTGGGGATTCAAACCCTCCACCTTAGGTGTATGTGGCTGGCACCTTAGCCTCTTGAGCCACAGGCGCCGAGCCTTTTTTTTTTTTTTTAAACCAACTAGGTCAATTAGTTATTGCACAAGGACACAGAAGGACTTAATATCACATAAGACCATTATTCCATTAAACCAATAAAGAAAAACCTATTCCACAGCTAGCAAATTCCATAGGTTTGTAACTTAGTATAAACAGGCCACTCCTCAGAACCACAAGATGTCTTACAGAGGAGACCTGCCTCATTTCTGCTCTTTCCCAGCTTAGTATCCACATCCACAGACTCCTAATGTACCATCTAGAAGCTCACAAACAAGTCAGTACTTCTGCTTTTCCCCTGCTTGGAACAATGGAATTTCAGATTACTACAGCTCTGCAAACCCATCTATTGATACCTAGCAAGGAATAAAGAGTTTTCATGCATGATACACCAGTAAGCCAAGAATCACTTTCATGAAGTGTTGTAAATGTTACCTACTAAGCTCCTAATACTCAGTATGTTGATGAGTCTTTCTGTACATGTCTGCTGCCAAATAATATTACCCTCATCAAATGCACCAAAAATCAAATATGCATCTTTCTGTTGTTGTTGTTGTTAAGTACTCCACAAACCAATGAAACAAGCTGCTGATCTCTGTACTGGACATCTCAGGACTCCCTTTAAAGCTCATTCTGCACTACAGTCAGAAACTTGACTGACTTTCACTATCAAGTTTCAGGAAATTCAGCCATACAGTTTAGAAGTCACATGTCTAAACCCTATGTTCACTTAGGATAATAAAGTTTAATGGGTTGGCTTACCTTTTTCTAGGTATTCTTCTAAACCCCGACGTCGGGCATCTAATTGTTGTTCTGATAATGAGAATGGCCACTTTCCTGGAAGTCGGGGAAATGTAAAGTTGGCAAACTCTCTCTTCAGGTTCTGGTGTAGGACAGCAAACTCCCGGTACCGCTTAGAACACAGCTGCCTCCCTGCCATGTAAACATTATATACCTGGTGAGGAAGAAGAACAAAGAAAGGCCTACTTACTACAGATTCAATCACAGAATCACCTAAAATCAAGTTTAGACTGATGCTAGTTAGATGCATTTTGCTAGGCACTTAGCAGAGACTACATTTGAGATCACCTTAAAATTAAGACTTAATGCCTTAGTGCCCATAGTTCAGTGGTTAGGGTGCCAGCCACATACAACGGGACAGGCAGGTTCAAACCTAGCCTGGGCCTGCTAAACAATGATGACAACAACAAAAAGATAGCTGGACATTGTCACAGGCACCTGTAGTCTCAGCTACTCAGGAGGTTGAGGCAAGAGAATCACTTAAGTCCAGGAGTTTGAGGTTGCTATGAGCTGTGACACTGTGGCACTCTACCAAGGGCAACAATAGTGAGACTCTGTCTTGGGGGAGGGGAATTAAGACTTACTTTTAGGCCAGACATGAAGGTTCACACCTGTAATCCTAGCACTCTGGGAGGCCAAAGCAGGTAGATTGCCTGAGCTCAGGAATTTGAGACCAGCCTGAGCAAGAGTGAGACCCTATCTCTACTAAAACCAGAAAATCCTAGCTGGGTGTTGTGGCAGGTACCTGTAGTTCCAGCTACTTAGAGGAGGCTGAGGCATGAGGATTGCTTGAGTCCAAGAGTCTGAGGTTACTATAAGCTATGACACCAGGGTACTCTACTCAGGACGACAGAGTAAGACTCTGTCTCAAGAAAAAGAAAAGACTTTTACAAACATGCCAAAAGTTACAGGAACAAAAACAGGCGGCCCTAGGACCTGAGTGCGGTGGCTCACCACTATAATCCTAGCACTCTGGGAGGTCCAGGCAGATGGAATGCTTGAACTCACCAGTTTGAGACCAGCCTGAGCCAGAGGGAGACCCCTGTCTCTAAAAATAGCTGGGCATTGTGCCAGGTGCCTGTAGTCCCAGCTACTTGGAAGGCTGAGGCTAGAGAATCACTTCAGTCCCAGTGTTTGAGGTTGCTGTGAGCTGTGATGCCTCGGCACTGTACCCAGAGCAACAAAGTGAGACCCTGTCTCAAAAAACAAACAAACAAACAAAAATAAGGGCTGCCCTTCAAGGGAAGTATGACGTTATTTCTGCAATTAAATTGACCTCTGACACACTTTGAAAAATCTTCAAAGGTGATAACTAGTTTTCAAGGATAAATTTCATTTTCTGAAACTTAAAAGTCATTTCAAGACAATGTGGTGAGGCTCGACGCCTGTGGCTCAAGCGGCTAAGGCACCAGCCACATACACCTAAGATGGTGGGTTCGAATCCCCAGCCCA